GGTCATATCTATGAGACCTTCATATCTACTGCTGTGGACCACTTCCAACCAAGAGTAAAAATCACTGATATCAAGCCAAGTCTCACTGAAAACACACTTTCCATGTTTAAACTACAAGCGGTGGACATGACTGAACTTCTTTGTTTTTTGGGCAGGTGAACAAGTCGCCGTATGTGGGAGGTTGTAGCAACGAAGAGGTCGAAAACATGGAAGTAAACTGTGCTCTTTTTAGCCTGCAGTTATCACAGGGTTCGTAGTTTAACGTGTAGACCTACAAAAAAACGGTAGCAAACTTAGCACTTCATGAAGACAGATCATATCAACCTCTGATTACGGTGTTTTACTCTGTTTATTTATGCAGCCAACGTTTCTCAGGAATGATCGAAAGTAAAAATAAATTAAGACTTGACAAAATTAAATTTAAGAKCTTGTATGAAAATCTGGGTGTTTTAAAGATTTTTTAGGGCTAAAACGTTGATTTTCAAATTTTAGACTTTTTAAGACCCTGCATGAACCCTGTTTATAACCATTTTGTAAAGTTTAACTTCTCAATTACTCTCCCAAAGGACAACTGACAACATAGGATCAACARATTGAAACACCTCTCTCACCTCTTCAATGCATGAATTACGAATTCTGTTAAGGTGAGTCTCAACAGCCTTRAGGTCCTCAGGGTGCTCCGAGCGCAACAGTTCCAGAGTTGTCTGCAGGAGATGCAGTTTGTGAACTTGATGTTACGCCTCACAGCCTCTCAGTCAGTAATATTTTTAAAGTGGAATTTGAACATCTCACTTACCCTCGCCCTGAGGCCCAAAGACAGCAGCCTCCCCTCTCTTTTACTCATCAGATCAGGAACCGCATCCGTTACGGTGGACACAAACTCCTCCAGTTTCCCATAATGTTTTATGTTGCGCTGCCTCACCACCTCCCACATCACTGCAGACATCAGTCGAAGCGGTGGGACCAGGAGTGCCAGAGAAGACAGGGGGACGCTGAACTCTTTTAGAGGGAAATAACTTTTTTTTTCACATAAAACTTAAACACAGGATGAGAACATGCAGCCACATGGTCAAAAGTTCACATGCAATGATGAAAAGATGTCTTCACAGAGACTGGCTAGCTGAGAGTTTAACATCTGAATTCATGAAGCTAATATTGTTTGAGATTTTTAGATAATATATTTACTGGAAAAAGACAAATAGTCCCCAGACTGACTGGAGGCTATAAATAATGACTTCAAAGAAACACAGCATCTAGAATAGCCCTTACTGCGTGCGTTCAATTTTCTAAGATCTAACCTTAAAATTAGTTGCTTCATTTTAAGCACCAACTTTGCATTCACTTTCATGTTCCCTACTCGTTTTGTTTGCACTTTAATCTGCAGATGTTGACACACTCTGTGGTTTTACAGTGACAACACTGCACACAATGCACGTGACGTGAGCTGCTGCTGCTGATTTGACCGGTTATCAGTCACTGACTGCTAAATGTTTCACATAATACATTTTAATACGATTAAATCATGTTTTGACTTGTTACGTTAACATACTACAATTGTAGTAAATTTGTAAACTGTTAAATTATTTTAAAAACCGCTTAGTCTCATAGCACTGCATCCTTTTATGTCTTGTGCTAATGCTAATGTTAGCTAAAAGGCTAACGTGAGCATGCTAGCTACAAGGCTGGTAGGACCTCAAAGAAAAACACCGGCGTATTAGTGAGCAAAAAAAATGTTGTTCCAGAGATTAGACGAGGCCTGCGGAGCCTAAGCTAAGCATTCGCTTTAGCTATTCAGCAAGGCGCAATGAAAGTACAAACATTCAATTTAACTGGGTTTTGAGACGTCGTACATACCCAACTCGTTCATTTTGGAATTCCTCAGTAGCTCCACAAAGAAAAGTTCAATGCAGCACCGTATCTTTCATAGTTTCAGCTAGCAAGCTAGCTACCCTAGTCCGGAGCTTCAGGCGCCAACTTCTTCCTGAAACACTTCTTCTTCTTCTTTTGAATTAATGACGGATCGTAAACAACTTTCAGGTGCATACCGCCACCTACTGTGCATGAGTGTGTAACCTCATGGC